GAGACCCCGTCTCTACTAAAAAATAGAAAGAAATGATCTGGACAACTAAAAATATATATAGAGAGAAAAAATTAGCCGGGCATGGTGGCGCATGCCTGTGGTCCCAGCTACTCGGGAGGCTGAGGCAGAAGGATTGCTTGAGCCCAGGAGTTTGAGTTTGCTGTGAGCTAGGCTGACGCCACGGCACTCACTTTAGCCCAGGCAACAAAGCGAGACTCTGTCTCAGAAAAAATAAAAAAAAATAAAAATTTCCCTTCAAAAATGTTACACTGGTTTATATTCCCGTCTATGTCGTTTCCCCACACTCTTGGCAATAAGTCTTACCAATCTTTTTTAAAACTTTGATAATTGAACAGTATAGCATAGAGCATGAGTTTGTTCTCAAAACTTATAAGTGAAGTGGGGAACTTTTTTCATATTTCTTGACCATGTATTTTTTCTTTAAAAGCCCTGTTTATATCCTTTGCTCATTTTTATTCCTTATCTTAAAGAGCTTTTTCTATAATATATGAAGGAAATTAATCCTTTGACTATCATGCACTGTGAATATTTTCTAACTAGTTATTTGTCTTTTGACTTTGCTTTTATGTATATACCTTGCTATGTTTAGTTTTTATGTAATTAGATATTTTATTGCTTATAGGTTTTGTCATGCTTAGAAATCATCCGAGATTCTGAAAAAGGAAAACAGATGAATTTTTAAATTTACTCTTATGTTGTTTTATATTCAAATATTTGATCCATCTGAAATTTATTTTGAATAATGAGTTAGGGATCTAATTTTATAGTTTTCTAAAATGGCTAGCCAGTTGTTTCAACATTATTTATTAAATCTGTTTCTGTGTGAATATTTATATTCTAGCCCACATTTCTAGTTCAGATTCCATTTCTCTAAAGTAGTGTAGATGTGATTAGTTGAGAATTTTATAAGTTTTTTGAGGTCAGTGGAGCAATATAAGGTGACAGATTATACTATCTTATCGTGCCTTTTATTGTTAAGATTGATAAATGATTGACTTTTTCAGGCAATACTCCTAAGCCCAACCATCCTATGGATCTAAAGGTGACCTTTCAAGTGACTCTTCTACATTACTTGTATCTGTTTGTGGAGAGCAAGGTGAAGCTGGGATGAAGGTATTCTAAGACTCTAAACTCTGTGAGAGTTTTTTAGAAAATAATCAGGATTTAAAAATGAGTTTGAACTTCTCTAGGCAATAAAAATCTGCTGGTCAGTGCCTGCGCGTTAGCTCATTCTGTACCTGCCACAGGTAGACAAAGAAAATGTTTGTTAAAAGAACTGAAACTGAAACTTGAAAATTGGTAATTAGTCACTGCTTAGTACTCCTTAGTCATCTTTAGGAATGTAATCACTATGCGTCTCCTGGCCTTGATTCCCCCCCTTTTTTCTTTTAATGCCACATGACTAGGGATCAGAAGACATGGTTTTTTTAGATGCAGTTACTTACTGGTCATGTGACAGTGTGCAAGATATTTAATTTCTTTGAATCTTAGTTTCTTTATTTTAAAAATAGAAATGATACTACTATCTTGCCTTTCTCAGCATGTTTTTATAAAGAATAAATGAGTTGATGTATGATATATACTTTTTATATGTTAAAATTTGTAGCAAGCTTAATGAGGGTGGGGATTTAGAAATTTGGAGGCCACAGTGACCTTTGAGAGAGAAGAGTTGCAGAAATGGGTTGGGAACAAATGGCTACTGAGAAATAGAAGATAGGAAGTACAAACCACTTTTGCAGGACATTTTATATTAAAAGGAAAAGTACAGCATGGTTGGATCATTAGAGTTAAGTATATCATTGAGAAGGGCTCCTGTTTGTTTTAAAATATTGTTTCTCAAATTTTAGTTATTTGTAATTTTGCCATTATAGCATATCTGTTATATAACCTAAAAAAACCCACTTAAAAAAATCCTTGTTCTCATCCTAAATAATAAATTCTGTTAAATCATAGGTTTGATGTTCAGTTACTTATTTTTTTCTAAAACATTAAATATGTAACATTTGACAAATAAATGTTAGTAGAACCAGATTTTCTTTTGTGTACTGCTGATGATATCTATATCATAATTTCAGAAACAGGATTTTTAAAGAATAGCTTGGCTCTGAATGTAAATGTGAACAATAGAAATGATTAGTGGGTTGAACTTTGTGAACAGTTTCTTAAAGGATATGTGAAAGATCAAGACAATAGTTTCAATAGTCAGTCTTGAAAAAGAGATGGGCTACCCTTTCTTCTGACGCGGGAACATCGGAGAAGAGGATTAAAGATAGTGCAAATTAAAAAAGATAGAAGACATTTAAGCACCTGGTTCCAAAATTCAACAACCAAAGGTTGCCGGGTAGGGCTGGGACTTGAAAATGGAAAAGGTTCTGAACTACTGTTGTGAGGAATGTTACAGAAATTCATCAAGAGGCAAAGACAGAGATTGCATTTTTCCATCATGGGACTGGTTGAGAACTGACAGCATCAGTTTAGAGTGGACCCATCTTCTTAGTTGTTTCTGCAGTGGGTGGCAATGTGGAATCAGAGAAATCAGGTAGCAGACAGTATCTGGGATTGGCATATGGCATGGTGGGTCATGAAATTGGTGGTGCTGAGAGAAGGACAGAAATCATGATAGAGGGTTCGTAAGTCTATGCTGGGTAAGAAAACTGGTGATCCAAGATGATAATTCCCATCAGAAGAACAGAAACTTGTCTTTTCCCCTGTGTTTCTCTTTAGAGCAATGAAACATTTCCTAGAAATTCCCCAGTAGACTTCTTATGTCTCATTGCCCAGAATTAGACTGCAGGTTATGCCAGCGATCTTCCTTTTGTCACTCCATTCTTTTCTACTCCACTTTGTGCCCCGGGAGGCTGACCTTAGGTACTACATCAGTAGTCTCCCATACACACTGTGGTTTCTGATAGGGTTTGGCCAGCAGAGGCACTGGCAGCGGATCTAAGGGCAGCGAGTGAGGTGGGTGAGTTTATAACTTATGTTCTCCCCTGCCGGGTAACCATCGCTCCTGTCTGATAGTCTCCAAGGAGTTCTCTCTGGGTTCCACTAACCATTCCCTCCTTTGTCCTTTCAGGCCTTAGTATAGTAACAGCTTTCTCCATGTTTGTTGCTAGCCCCAGAATTCCACACCATCCTTTGCTTTTCTTAAACCCTACCCACCCACTTATCAAGGCCCTCTTTAAATTCTTCTCAGTCAATAAGCTTGAGTGGGCCATCTTTTTTTTTTTTTTTTGAGACAGAGTCTCACTGTGTTGCCTGGGCTAGAGTGCCATGGCGTCAGCCTGGCTCACAGCAACCTCAAACTCCTGGGCTTAAGTGATCCTTCTGCCTCAGCCTCCCGAGTAGCTGGGACTACAGGCATATGCCACCATGCCCGGTTAATTTTTTCTATGTATTTTTAGTTGTCTGGCTAATTTCTTTCTATTTTTAGTAGAGACGGGGTCTCACTCTTGCTCAGGCTAGTCTTGAACTCCTGAGCTCAAGCAGTCCTCCTGCCTCAGCCTCCCAGAGTGCTAGGATTATAGGCGTGAGCCACTGCAGCCAGCCGTGAGTCTGTTTTCTTTTTAAATTAATGTACATGTATTTGCCAAAGGAAAAGGACAAATGATATTTACTAAAATATTAGTGTTAGTTACTTCAACACCATAGGATAATGGGTGATTTTTGCTTGACCTTTTTCTGGATTTTTGAATTTTCTATAAAAGATTACTTTTAAAACTCGGGGCAGGGCCTAGACTTTATCATTCTGTAAAGTACTGTACACTGTGTATTGTTCTGTAAAAACACTGTACCCTGTGTTGCTGCCTGTGTGGAAAGTTAAGGTTTCTAGAGATTGGCAAGAAGAACATGTACATTTATCACATATCCCCTAGAGTTCTAATTTCTGGTTTTTTTTTTTTTTCTGCCTCTGTAGATTTGTACCAGCTTGACAATAAGTTTTAAGTGTTTTAGTTTTTAATATTTTATCCAGCATCTTAATAGTCTCCATTGCAGAATCTAGTCAGGGAATCTAATTTCCCGTACTATCAGAATTGGATCTGTAGCATTGCATGATTAATGTAGTTGTAATTACTGTGCGTACATTTAGTAGTTTTGTTCGTACCATTTTTATTTATTAGTTTCCATCTGTTTACATTCTGTTTCCTTCTATCATACTGCCCATGCTTCATTTAAGAGCTGTATCATGCTTTGTGGTTGTACCGTAGTTTACACAGTCATGTTTGTATTTGCTTGTTTTTCAACTTCATGATTTAAATGGTCCTGCTGGGTAGCTATATCCATCAATTTAAAAGTCATGTTTTTTTTCTTCCTTTAGGTCGAATTGACATAAAACGGTTGATAGCAAAGAAGATGCAGTTGACAGCAGAGGCAGAGGCAAGTAACTCCCCCTTCCAGAAACAAAAGCGTAGTTTTGGATAGAGTTTTGTTCAGTAACATTTTTAATGCTAGATTGCTTACAGCATTATTTAAACAATTCATCAGTTGACATTATCCTGTTGTGGAACAGGAAGATAAGATCTGCCACCTTCTCATCCTGTATAGGAACCCACATTACCTTTTTCTTTCTTATTCCGTCCATCGTTGTCATTTTCTCGCTTTTACCAGCAAATCTTGGCTTTAGTGAACCATGTTAAAAGTTGATATAGTGACCGAACGTGGTGGCTCATGCCTGTAATCCTAGCATTCTGGGAGGCTGAGGCGGGAGGATTTCTTGAGCTCAGGAATTCAAGACCAGCTTGAGCAAGAGCGAGACCCTGTGTCTCTACTATAAATAGAAAGAAATTAGCCAAACAACTAAAAATAGAAAGAAATTAGCCAAAAACAACTAAATATATATAGAAAAATTAGCCGGGTGTGGTGGTGCATGCCTGTAGTCCCAGCTACCCAGGAGGCTGAGGGAGAAGGATCGCTTGAGCCCAGGAGTTCAAGGTTGCTGTGAGCCAGGCTGATGCCACAGCACTCTAGCCCAGGCAAGAGAGTGAGACTCTGTCTCAAAAAACAAATAAAAAATAGTTGATATAGTTGAATATCTACATGAGTGCTTTATGAAAATACCTCTTACAGCTCATAATAAATAGTAGGCCTCCAATAAATGTCAAATGTGAATCTATAAGTAGATTCCCTGTCAGGAAAGCAGAAATAACAATTCAGAGAACAATGTAGAGTCATTTCAAGTGGGGACAAATGATTGTACAAATCAGAATTCTGCAGTACCCTTAGGAAATTTTGGAGAACAAACAACACTTTTTTTTTTTTTTTAAGAGATGGGATCTTACTGTGTTGCCCAGGCTGGTCTCAAACTCCTGGGCTCAAGATCCTCCCATCTCAACTTGCAAGTAAGTGGAACTACAAGCCACTGTGCCCAGCTCAAATACGTTTTAAACATAATCCAGTACTGTGTGTGATTGAGTTGTAAGTTGGCTTCAAATCCAAGGCAAACTCCCATTTTCCAATGAGATCACTTCCAAAATTTATTGGACAACTTGAATATTATAAGCATCCAATGATGTAGATGAAATAGCCTTGTTTTATTTACTAATTTAGTTACATGTATATGTGCATATACATATGCATTTTTAGAATAACTTAAATTTAGAAATTTTTATAATTTCATAAAATAATATATGCCAGTTTATTTACATTCCCTTTGATATCAGTGCTTTGTTATTATCAGAGCTAGTTTTTCAGTTATCATCCAAGGCCAGAGGCATATCATTTTTACTTTCATCTAGTTTGTTGGAAATATAGTACTGTTTGAGTCCAGGGATGATGCTGTCACTAAAAAATATATTACAAGAACCTATTTGCTTAACATTAAGAGACCCCCCCCGCAATCATCTTGTGGTATATTTGTGATGTCTGCAATGTAACCTCTTACTATATTGCTTTATAAAGTGGTGGTATTCAAAAGGTGTATTTACTTGAAATTGTAGTTAATAGGGTGTTAAATTTTATGTATCTCTTTTTCCTGATTCCATTAGGTTACCTGCATAAGCCTCCCAAACTACAGTGATCAAGGTCGTTTCTGGTGAATGTCTTTTCCAATTAGTACTTTTTTGCTCCATTGTAAGGGACTGTTTACAGACTTGATTATTAGGCAACTTCCACGTATCTGAGTGCTAATAATTTTGGCCAAGAAAAGAAAACTATTTAATATATAGACATGTGCTATTTAAGGGCTCATTCTTGCAAATTTAGTGATTAAAATAAAGAATTTCTGTTTTTGTGATTTACTAGACTGTTTCTGACCTGTCTTATTCTTCTAGACGGGCAGAACGTCTAGGTTTGTCTTTCATTCTTTATCTTAAGCCTTTGGCCTCCCCATATCAAGGGTTATTTCCAAACAAATTAAAAAAATATGGATGAGGAGTTTATTACAATGCACTATTTAGATCTGTAAACCTCTTCTATAATACATTGATAGCTTCTAGCAAAATTGTTTGCGGTAGAGCCAAGCTAAACATGGCCTTACTTTTTTTAGGTTATCAATTATTATCATGCTATACATGTATCATTGACTTTTTTTAAGGTTTCTCTTATTTGGCTTATGGTGCTAATCATATAGAAAATATTTCTGATAAAGTACAGTGGAAAGCAATATAGTGTTACTATAAAGTTATTAAGTGTGAAATGTCCAGTTTCCTTAAGTAGTACGTTTGACAGTTGATATCTCTGACATTTCACTTTGACACTTGTTTTATTTTTATTGTGAAGGTACATCCTCAATCCTTGAAACACAGGTTTTTGCTTGTGATTATCTTTCACTTTTTTTTTTAGAGCAATTTTTGTGAAACCGTGGGTAAGTCAAAAATTAGTGTTATTTTCAAATACGAGTTCCATCATGGAACCAATGTGGCACAGACAGCTTTAAGTATCAACAGAGTGTTTGGGAAGGATGTGGCTAATGAATGCACAGTATGTGGATGGATGATTTGAGAAGTTCCATTCTGGTGATGTTAATAGTGCAAATGAGCCATGTGGGCGACCTGAGACCAAGGTGGATAGTGATGAGCTGAAAGCTGTAGTGGAAGCGAATCCATCTCAACTTATGCGTGAATTAGCAGCAAGGTTTGACGTCACTATCCCGACAATATTGGACCATTTGAAACAAATTGGCAAGGTAAAGGAGCTGGATAGATGGGTTCCACATTAATTAAACGAACTTTAGAAAGAGAAATCTCCTCGAAGCTTGCCTTTGTTTGCTGTCGTGATGTAAGGGTGAACCATTTCTACACCATATTATTACATATGACGAAAAATGGATTCTATTTGACAATTGCAAATGTTCAGCACAATGGTTGGATAAAGATGAAGTGCCAAACCACACAGCCTAAAACTGAATATTGATCAAAAAAAGGTAATGGCGTCTGTTTGGTGGTCCAGCGCTGGTATCATCCACTACAGCTTCATGAAACCTGGTCAGTCGATTACAGCAGATGTCTGCTGCAACCAGTTGGACAAAATGATGAGAATGCTTGCGATTAAGCAGCAGGAATTGGTCAATAGACAGGCCAGTCCTCTTGCAAGACAATGCTCGACCACATGTCACACAAACGACGCTGCTCAAACTATAGAAGATGGACTTGGAAACTTTATCATCCACTATATTCACCAGACCTTGCATCGACTGACTACTGCTCATTCCAGGCTTTGGACCACTTCTTGCAAGGAACAGTATCCAATTCCCAACATGCTGTGGGAAAAGCCTTTTGAGATTTCATTGCCACTCGCCCTCCAGGCTTCATTGACCGCTGCTGGCATAAACAAGCTACCGTTAAGATGGCAAAACTGTGTCTATAGTTTATGTGCATACTTTGATTAATTGTACTGCTTCTTGTTTAGGATATAATAAACTTGTGATTCGAAATTGGACATTTCATATTTAATGACCTAAAAGGTGAACTCTGGGGTCATACAGACCTTGGTTCTCATCCCACTTATACAGCTTCCAAGTTCTGTGACCTTGGGCAAATCATATCAATTGTTTAAGCCTGAGTCTCCCATATGTAAAATAGAAATTATAATGCCTGCTTCAAAGATTGTTTTAAGACTACAAATAACATATAAAAATCCTTAAAGAAAATCTAGTATATATATACACAGTCATTCACTAAGTAACAGCCATTACCAACAATAACAATAATGATTATTAATCCCTTTCTTTCATAGCTTCTAGGTAGCTACTTTCTATTTTATAATAGAGTTTGAATTAAGCCAGCAATGGTATGAATAGGAGTTTTGGTGCCAGGTTGTTTTTAAAAGTTGTTTGGAAATAAATTTGACACCAGTCTTGTCAGTGACTTTGAGTATTGGATATACGGTTAACACAAAGACATGATGTTTAAAGTCAGTTAATGGCAGACAGTAAGATGCCAAAAAGTAGTAACATACAGAATTTCAAATTGTATTAAGTGCAAGGAAGGAAAGGAATCAAATGTGATAAGAGAAAGAACTTTAGAGTGAATTGTTGGGAGACTTCTCTGAGGATTCAATTTAGTAGAACCCTGACCACTGTATTTACCTGTTCAGTTCTGTTACTTGTTTTTCCCAGAAAGGTCAGGTTTCGGGTTGCATGCCACTATGAGGTTCAAAGATTCTCTGTGCCAGGCAGTGAATCAGAGAAACAAGTAGTTTATGGACTAGCAATATGACCTTGTTGAGTCAGAGTATAATATTCTTTACAGCCATTTTTGAAGAAATTATAATAAAGTAACTTAAATCTTTGAGAGGCTCTTTGTGTTTCTTTCAGCCTACTTTTTTATTTTTTCATGCCTCTGTACCTTTGAAAGGGTTATCTTATTTATCCATAAGTGACCTTGTCCTTTTCTCATTTTAAAACTCAGTTCAAAGTAACCTCTGCCTTTTTAGAAGAGTTATCTTTCTTTAAATGCAGATCTGAACACGTTTATAAATCTTATGCTTAAAATGTCACTGGCTTTCAGTTGACCTTAGGATAAAATAAAAAAATTGTGGTTTAAAGATCCATTATGAATTTGTCCCTACTTGCTTTTCTAGTCTTACTTCTGATCATTTGTGCCTTTCCTGTGTTTGCAGCCATAGAGTCTTTGCATCATGGTGGTGGTTCTTGGACTGCTAGAGGTTATCTAATTCAGCTGCTTATTTAAAATAAGAGATTTCTTTGAGCTCTAAAATAGTGATTCTGTTTACTAGATTATCTGAGCACCTTCCATTTCTAGTTAACTGCCTCCTTCCTTCTTTCCTTTCTCCCTTCTGTCTGTCTATCCATCCGTCTGTCTGTCATGATGCTAGGGCGATAATAGTCCACTGGCTGGATGAAATTAATATTAGTAGCTATAACCTCAACATCTTTTTCAGGTTACTGATATTAGACATTATTCAGATTTGTTACAGTC